AATTGGAGAGCTTTTCCAAATCAGCTATTTTGGCCTAGATCGTTCACTTCTCCTCCCTTCTCCAAACTCTTCACCCTTTTGTGAATAACCCTGTAATTGGACCATTGAGCCCCCCCCCTTTTTTTAACCTTTAGTACAGGTTTATGTTTTTCCCAAGCATGTGAAATGCACTTACTGACTCACTACCTCTGCTTGAAATTGGTTCCGTGGATCAATTACTCTTTTGGTAAAATACTTTTTAAGGTTAGTTTTGAACTTTCCTCCTGTCCCCGTGTTCTTAATCTTGACTTCATATTGAAAATACTGTCCTGAACCTTATTTATACCCTTAATGTATTTAAAGCTTTCAATCATATCTCTCTTTTTCCTTCTTTCCTCCAGACTGTACAAGTTCCTGCAGTCTCCCCTGATATGTTTTATCCCTTAAACCTTGCACTATTTTTGTTCCCCTGGACTTGTTCTATTTTATCAATATCTTTTTCTAAGTGAATCCTCCAGAACTGTACATATGAGGTCTAACTAAAGAGCTATATAGGGGAATCAGAACTTCCTTACTCCTGCTGGTGATCCCCATCATGATGTACCTCAGAATTCCATTCACTTCCTCCACTGCCAGGCCACACCTTTTGCTCATTTTGCAATCATCTGAAATCAGCACACCTAAATGCTTTTCCTCTGTAGCTCTGGCCAACACTGTACCCCCAATACTGTACTCTTTCAGAGGATTATTTTTCCCTATGCTAATTTATTTTCTTTTAGAAACTTTGAACTACGGTCTCCACTTTTTTGACCAATCCTTCAGCAATGCCAAATGATGTTCCATTTTACAAACAGTGTCAGGATTATCAACCCTATTGCACATCTTTTATCATCAGAAAGAACCAAAAGACCTTCCCACCAACCTACCTACAGTATATATTTCCAAACAGATTAAATAGAGCAGGACCTAGTACATAGCTGTGTAGTATACCACTAGCGACTGGTCTCTGTTCCAAACAAACCCTATTTACATTTACCACATTATGATGTCTATCCTTTAGCCAGCTATGTATCCACTGAACCACCCAAGTGTTTAGTTCAAGCTTGTACATTTTTTTATGAGCTTATTATGTAACTGTATCAAAAGATTTGCTGAAATCAAATATAAAAAAAAAATTTAGAAGTGCTGTCTCATTGTTTTATTAAAATGAATATCAAAGTATTATTTTACCAACAGTGTTATTTGTAAGTGAACATAATAATCAATATTCGTTTCTCAGAATTACTATGTAAGTGTTATTATCATTATTAACATCCACCTAATGGGACATGGATGTGTTACTCATAGCAGCCAGTCAGTTGATTCCCTTCAAATTCTAACTGCATAAAGCAATGACTGCGGAAACCTAGTCAGCACAGGAACTTTTTTTTTTCTTTCATTGTATTCTCATAATATTCTAGCAAGAGCTATATGAGGTAGTTATAATATATAGCCATGCTTTACTTTGTCCTCCAATTTTTATTACGGAAAGCTTATAACATCATTTAACAACATTTAACAAAATTTTAAAATAAGAAAATGACAAGGGTGTAGAGCACCATCTTAAACCACCTTAAGAGGAACAAGTATGTATTGTAGTATATCTGGGAAAGATAAGAATAATAGGTGTTAAAAATAGGTCAATATTGTTGTCTACAGAGTGAGCATCCACCATTATTGTGTTAGTTTAGTTATGTTATAAATCTGTTGGCAGTCATTTTGACTGCAGAGAACCCAGACTATAATTCAATCTGTCACCCTGAAATAAGAAGTCAGCCTGGAATTTATGTATACAGTTATTTAGAGCACCGTCTGTCATTAAACTAAGCTGCTACTGCTTGCCTTCCATCTGAGAAGACTTAACCCATTCAGATGTGGAGGGACCTGAAGTGTTATTGATTACCAATGTTTGGTGTTGTTTTCAATCATTTTTTTAACTGTTTGTTTTAAATGGAATTGTTCAATTTCAGTCCATAAAAGTCAAAGTCATGGAATCTGTAATTGTTGACCCCCTGCAAATAAAATACTAGTTCCCTGTATGTAATACTGATCCAATGGCCTCAGTACAACAAGTATGCTAATAAGGAACTTTGACATGTCTGCTACTTTTCTGATCTTTATGTACTGGTCTGTGTCTTAGTGTCTCAGAAAAGTGTTTTAAGCTGACCATACACCTGTCAATGTCTTTTGTTCAACCTGGGGACTGAACAAAAGAAATTGATATGATTCTTCCATCAACACAAACAGCGCGTCGATCGAGGAATCCCGATGTTTACATTGTATTCCTGATCAGAGCGGAGAGCTCATTGGCTGCCGGCTCTGATCGCACAAAGATTTTCCAACTCCTTCGTTCAGCTGATGGAGAAATGCCAGCTGAAAGGGAGCAGACAGCCCCACACACTGTCGAAAGGGGAATTAAGCCCTTGTAAAGTAAAACATATACGTTTACTTTAACCCCTTCATGACTGAGCTAGTTTTCAGGTTCTGTTCATAAATGACTGACACACTTTTTACATTTTTGCAGTGTGGTTCTTCCACGTCAGTAATATACTTTCTTACTAAATGTACCCACACATATTATATATTGTTTTTTAGAGGACAGATAGGGCTATATAATTATATCACATATGTGTACCTAACCCCTCACTTAGTTTGAATAAAATAAAAAAAATGAGGAAAAAAACTAGAAGAAAACACTTTTTTCACAAGTTTTGATTATTATTATTTTTTTTTAGAATTTTTTTATATTAATTATAGTATAAAAAATATATTTATATATAATTTATATTTTCCTAATTTTGTTTTACACTTTATTTTAATTTTTTT